AGAATCAAAGTGAGAAGGTCTGTTTCAAGTGCTGCTGACTTCTCATGCAGCAGTTAAGATTAAAGAGCAAGGATCGTGGATTCATCATACCAGAATAAAGAAAGCCCCTAAGCCACGATGAGAAACAACACCTACTGGACCTCTGAAACTTTGAATTTGACAAAATGATTGTATTTTGCATAATGGAAATACAGCCTTGGAATCAGAATTTGTATTTGAGATTGATACAGAATGTGACCAGAGTTATAAATAAGAGTGATTGCTGGATCTGTACTCAGCTGCCTAAATCAGGAGAAAAGACAGGTATTCCTTTAATCGGCCTCCCTTGACCCTTTAAAACCAATTTAAATAGATCAAAATGGCCAGATTGATATTTTATGAGGTGGCCAAGGATGACACCTCTTGGGGCTTTGAGGAAATATGGAAAAAAAATAACCTCATGGTTACCAAATTTCTCCTGGTTGAGGCAACTGGTTGCAGGAATCTTAATACTGATCATTTTAATACTGATTACTTGTGGCATGATACAATGTTCTTTTTGGTGTTGTAAAAAGTCCGTAACTGATTACGAGTATTGGAAAAGGCATAAGATAAGACAACAGGTAGAAAGTGGCAAATATTTTGCCAGGACTCAAGGGAAAAACAGAATAATAAAGCAAAGGAATTTGCAAAGGTTATAGAAAAGGAGGGACTTGATGTGAGGAATAGTAACAAACTAAGGAAAGATTTAAGAGTTTTCTTTAAACTATACATTGTCTTAACTTAGAATAGGGAACAGGTATGTTCTTGTTCTTGCCAGTTAAGCTATAACCCAGAATAGAATAGGTAGCCAAAACTCATTGTTTAAAATCAGAGACCCTTTTCCCTCAAGAAGATGAATGTCTGACAGGAATTTGCTTCAACTAGTTTATATAAGACTTGAGGTTGCCAGCTGGGGAAATTGTGCCAAGGGTGAAAAGTACACCGTGAGGAAGACTCCTTACTTCAGCTTGATGATCCCTGCCCACAACCACTGGGGGGCAGTGCGCAAGCACCAAAAGGAAGAAGACTTATGATAATGAGTACCTAAACTAATTATAATATCCCAGCCAAACTCTCAGTAACCTAATGAATATGTATGTTTGTGTATAATAAATAACCAGCTTGTTGAGCTTTCAGTGTGCGAGTTAGGAGGAGCGATCCCCCTCGCACCCAGGGCTGCAATAAGCATACCTGCTTTATAACTCTTTGTGAGTTATGAAGTTCTATTCCATAAATCAATAGGTCAGAAAGTTATGTATCACAAGAACCACCGAGAGGAGCACCCTCTGCATCTGTCCTATCTGATATTGATAAGGAGTAAGAGATTGCTGTCACTGGCAACAAGCAGCAGATTCACATTCAGAGTTAAGAAAGGGTTAAAACAGAAGTGCTGTTGCAGAGTGTCCTGGGTTCAGCAGGAGCAGTCATTTTTTCTCCTTAGTAGCTGGTGCAGTGCTGTGTTTTTGACTTCTGGCCTGGGAACAGAGCTGATAATGCTCAAATGTTTGGTCAGGCCAAGGACTTTTCTGACACTCATGCTCTGCCAGGGAGGAGGGGAAGCCAGGAGGAAGCTCTGACCAAAGAAGTATTCCATACCACAGCCCATCATGCCCAGGATGTAACTGAGAGTTAACTGGAAGGGCTATGGCACTGTAGGGTTGGATGAGGTATCGGTCGGGTGGGGTAGGGCGAGTTGTCGGTCGGCTGGTGCTGAGGTGTTGTATTCTCTTCCCTTGTTATTTCCTCTATCATCATTATTATTGGTGGTAGCAGTAGTGATTTGTGTTATACCTTAGTTACTAAACTGTTCTTATCTCAACCCCTGGGAGTTGCATTGTTTTCGATTTCCCTCTCCGTCCCTCCGTCCCTGCGGGAGTAGGGGGAGGGCAAGAAGGGGGGAGTGAATGAGCAAGCTGCGTGGCTGAGTTTAAACTACAACACAGAGGCAGGCATCTGCAGCCGCTGCAGGACAGGGTGAGCAACTGTGAGAAAAAAAAAAGAAAAGCAAGGGAGTAAGGAGGCGAGCTTGGGCAGCTCTGTGTTTGAGCATGGGATGAGGCTGGGGAGGCAAAGGTAGAGGAGCGATGTCGCGCGGAGGTGAGGGAGTGGGATCTTCTGTGGAACTGAATCGGTGTGCCTGTTATGGGGAGTTTGGCTGTTGGAAGTGAGACTGCCCTGGGGGGGGAGTGCTATGGGGTGGCTAGGATGACTGAATTGGAACTAGGATGGGGACCTGGGGGATCCACCCTAACAGATCCACTGATTAAATTAAAACTAGGGACTAGAGGAAATAAAGTGGAATTTTAGTGGATACAAGATGCGTTAGATCAGAGGAAAATAATTTGTTACAGATGTGGGAGCTAATGGCCACCAAGACAAAAAAAAAGAGAGAAAAAAAAAAGATAAATACTTTCTGAAACTCTTAAAGTACAAATTGGAAAAAAAAATAGGAATGCATGAATTTTTATGCATGCCAAATTCTCCTAAATCTTTATCAGGACGAGAAGCAACATTTAAAGAAGGCAAAATGGAATTAAGAGTTTAAAACAATCAATTATTGCAGTTTTGAGTTTATCTTTAATTCGACAGAAAAGCAAAAAGGAGGACCTCCCTGAAATAGCAGAAATCCTTAATCAGGTATATCTGGGAGTATGGGCATATGAAGTTCCAGGTAAGGCAAAAAATGCTTTGCCTGTTAAAGTAGAAATAAAAGGGGGGGGGGGATGCCTAATTAGAACAAAACAATATCTCTTAAAATTGGAGGATCAAAGGGAATTAAAAAAATTTATAAATATAAAAATATGGATTATTAATTGAATGTGAATTATAATATAATACTCCTATCTGGACATTAAAGAAATATCATGGGAAAAATTGCAGATTAGTTCAAGATCTCAGAGCAATCAACAAAATTGTAGAAGATATTCTCCCAGTAGTAGCTAATTCGTATGACTTATTGACAAAATTGAATAATCAGAAATGGTTTGCCATCCTGGATTTGAAGGGTGCTTTCTTTTGCTTACCATTAGCCAAAGTAAGACAAAATTTATTTGCTTTCGAATGGGAAAATCCTAACACAGAAAGGAAAACTCAATTAACTTGGACAGTATTACTTCAAGGGCTTAAAAAAAGTCCAACAATTTTTGGAAATCAGTTAGCACTGGAACTAGAATCATGAAAGCCACCTACTCAGACGAGAACTCTGTTACAATATGTGGATGACTGATTAACTGCTACAGAAACAAAGGAAGAATGTATCCAGTGGACAGTGGAATTATGAAATTTTCTGGAATTGAATGGCATCCAAACAAAAGGCCAACTAATCCAAACCCGAGATTCCTACCTAGGATGTGAAATAACAGGAGGACAGAGAGAACTTGGAACTGCTAGAAAAGAAGCCATTTGTCACACTCCAAAACAGTTGACCGTTAAGGAGCTCCGGACATTCCGGGGAATGACTGGATGATGCAGACTTTGGATCCATGGTTATAGTGTTCTGGTAAGAGCACTATATGAACTGTTGAAAGGAAACCCTCCCTCTTTAGAATGGACTCATACAGCAGAGGGGGCCTTTAGAAATTTAAAAACAGAGGTAATGAGAGCTTCAGCTCGGGGACATCCATTTGTAACTAAACAGTTTTGGCTATATTCCTATGAAAAACAGGGAACAGCTTTGGGGGTCTAATGGCAAACTAACAATTGAAAAATCTAAAACTAGTTATTCCAAAGAGGATAGAAAATTGATCAAAGACCTAAAAGGACGGGAAAACAAAGAGGGTTGGGTTCAGATACCTAATGGGTGAATTATAATCCCCCATAACAAACTCTGGAAGTTAGTTAAGGAGGAAAATAATAAAACTCATTGGGGTAGCAACTCTTTGTATAAATAGGTAAACAAATTGTAGGAAGAAATCTATATACTATAGCTCAATTAGTGACAAAATAGGGACTGTAGTGATAGGACAAGGGGTAATGGGTTAAAACTTAAACAGAAGAAGTTTAGATTGGATATAAGATGGAAATTTTTATAAATTGAGACCACAACGGATCATAATCCAATTAAAATTTTATTAATTATAGCAAGTAGAATATGAGCAAAAACAGCGCTGGACAACAGGGGAGTCTGCGCTCCGCCAACTGCCATGCTGAGCAGTTCAAACAGCCCCTTTTTATACATCTTTACTTCCGTGTTCATGAAGTAGTGGAGGTACTCTGCGCATGCTTCACATAGTTGACCTTTTACTCATATGTCCTTATATGGAGTTGTTTATCTTAACTTCTGCCAGTTCCTGGAACATCTTGCAGTTATTGTTAGTTTGCACAATCGGTATCTGGTTTAGTTGTGTAAGCGATTGCGGTTATCTTATCTTGCGTAAGCTGTGTCTGGTGGCTGTTTGCATAAGCGATTTCATATCTTTTGTTGCCTAACCTTTACATTGGGCTTAACATAAATCTTAATAAACAATACCCTAGTCCATAGTTTCTCACAATCCCCCCTTTTTCTTTTTATTCTATTATTGTTTATTAGACGCTGCTTTCATTCTCGGCACTGCAAGCAAACCTTTTTCCACAATCCCAACATTTACCATAACACTCACAAGGTAATACCTCACAATTACAATAGGCATAGCTTTCACGTGGCATAACGCATTCACAATAATCTTCATCCTCATTAATAGATACACTCTTATATTTTGCCCCAGACCTCGTAGTTAAAATAAGCAGTTTAGCTATGTCAAACCGTTCTCTAATAAAGTGTAAAATATAGCGCAATATACAAGGCCCAAATATAAGTCCCAGAATCAACATAATAAGCGGTCCTGCTAAAGCAGACAACAAAGTGGTTAGCCAAGGTGAAACATTAAACCAGTTTTCATACCATGACCTGCCCGCCTCACGATCTTTCTTACGTTGATCTAACCTTTTCCGGAGTTGTAATATTTTGAATGGCATGTGTTTCCTGTAAGTTATATATCTTCCATACCATAGGTTCATGAGGGTTTCCATTTGCTTGGGTTATTATCAATAACAAAACTAACGGTATACCAGGAAAAAGGGTGTCTGTTAATTTTGCCAATTTAAGTATATTTTTACCAGTCCTGGGGAAGTTTGGCCATTGCTGCTTTTGCGTCCCATTGTTCTGGTTCTTTTCTCCACATTTTGTTCCTCCTCTGCCTTGCCCGTCGGCTCGGTTGCTTCGAGTCATGGGGTGTACCATCTTCTCGGCAGCAAGGGAATTCTTCAGGAGAACAGTTGTTTCGGGCTTTCTGCCTGTTTACATAGGCTTCCCACTTTGCAGCTTTAACTAATGGGGCAAAGCAAGACACGGTTAGTACTTCCCTTCTACACTTTATAACCAAAATTTCAGCTACACAGGGGACTGGTTCGTTGGAGTGGTAACAATAATATTGAGGGTTTATTCCTTTGGCAAAAATCTCCCACCACTCATGGGATTCCCGAATAATTTCTTGTTTAGACTCTAATTGTTTTAATTTCCACTCAGTGAGAGTTCTTTGGATTTTCCAACACTGTGTGCAAACTCCTATTGGAGGGTATCCATATTCACAGTGTGTCCACCATTTATCCTGACATACCTTACACCTAAAACAAGCAAATGGATAACAATTGCAGTTCAAATTATTACACTTAATTCGTATATCTAGAGTACATATATTATTTACATCAGCATATCTTCTATATTCACTATTGTGTGGTTGCATATGTTTAGCAATTTCCTTCAACACACTTTGTATGCTTCCATATATAATAGATAAAAAGAGAAATAATTATTGCAAATATAAACAGCAATACACACTTTATACCAAAAGGTAATGCAGCAAAAAAATCAAATAAAGTCTCTATCATTACGTTATCTTTTCAGGGTTATCTTGGTGTCACCTGGAGTACTGATTACTTTCCAGTGGGGTCTCGTCACTGGGCCTTTAATGCGACTGGCATGAGTCCATCCACGCTCAGCAGTTCGGACAGCTGTTTCTGTTGTAAGCAAAACAAGATAAGGTCCCTCCCAATTGGCTTTTAGGGTTTCTTCCTTCCACACTTTGATCACTATCCAATCCCCAGGTTTAACATTGTGAATTTTTAAGTCCAACGGGGGTCGTTGCACAATCAGTCCATGTTCCCAAAGCTTGTTACGATGTTTTGCTAATTGTGAAACATATTCATTAATTACACGGTCTCTAATTAAAACATTTGTTTGTGGACTTTCAATTCTATAAGACATTCCATACACCATTTCAAACGCTGATATTCCTACATCTGCTCGGGGTCTGGTTCTGAGAATTAATAGTGCCATGGGTAGGCACTTAATCCATGATAATTTGGTTTCTATTATTAATTTAGTCAAAATAGTTTTAATTTCTCCATTTATCCTTTCAACTTTTCCCGAACTTTGTGGATGCCATGGTGTATGGTATTCCCACTTAATACCAAGCTTTCTGTTAGATCTCTAACAATTTTTGACACAAAATGTGTTCCTCTGTCCGAGTCGATTACTTCAGGTACTCCATATCGAGGTATAATGTGTTCAAGTAACACTTTAGTAACTTGGTTAGCAGTTGCCCTGGAGGTAGGAAAAGCCTCAACATAATGTGTTAAATGATCCACCATTACTAATAAATATTTGTAACGCCCTACCCTAGGTAGTTCAGTAAAGTCCACTTGTATGTGTGAGAAAGGTATTGCGGCTGGGGAGCGTCCTCCAAGAAGGTCTTTGTCTCATGTTGCTTCGATTAACCTTTTGACAGGTCTCACAGGCTGCCATGACTGTCTTTGCTATGTTATATACGCCTATACAGGCAAACTGTTGATTGAAATGATCAACTAACGCCTGGGTTCCCCAGTGTGTTTTACTGTGTATTTTTGAAAATATTTCGAGTGCTATGCCCTTCGGCAAGACTTCTCTCCCATCTGGCAATATGTATTTCCCATCTTGTTCCTTAGCTCCCATTTGTTCTAGTTTTTCCTTTTCTGCAGACTCAAAACTCAAATTTTTACTAACAGGTACTTGTTGCATAGTCAAAATCATACTATAATTGCCTGCCACCCGTTTTGCTTCTGTATCAGCTGCATTATTTCCCCTAACTTGATAACTTGTACCTCGCTGGTGTCCCTTTATATGTACAACTGCTATTTTATTTGGCATTTTCAATGCCCCCAGAACTCGCCAAATTAATTCCGGGTGTATCAGTTCTTTTCCCTGTGAGTTAACAAATCCTCTTTCCTCCCATATTTTTCAAAAAGTGTGTACTACTCCGAACGCATAGCGTGAGTCTGTATATATAGTTCCATCCTTTCCCTTCAGTGACACTAATGCTTTCCACAATGCATACAACTCACAGGCTTGAGCCGACCAGCTGGCACTCAGGGGGCCTGATTCTATTGTCTTAAATTCTCCTTTTTCCAACTTAACGATGGCATATCCGGACAATCGTTTACCTTCCACTATTCGTGATGACCCATCTATAAATAATACTTCTCCACATTGTAGTTCTTCTTCTTCTAAATCTGGCCTAATGCGTGTCTGTTGTTCAATTGTTTGAAAACAATTGTGCAATAGTTCATTACCTTCTCCTGGGTACAAAAATTCAGCGGGGTTAACCGCTCCAATAGTTTTCAAAGATAGCTTAGGGGATTCTATAAGTATTCCCTCATACTTTAATAATCGGCTATCTGTAAGCCATTTTTCTGCTTTTTGTTGTAACACTCCCCTGATGTTATGAGGCGCATATAAGATAACTTCTCCATTAAAGGTAATGCGATTCGTTTCCTCAAGTAACAAGGCAGCAGCTACAATGATTTGTAAACAACTCGGCCAACCCCTGCTCACAGGGTCCAACAGCTTTGATAGGTATGCCACCGGTTTCTTTTGTCCGGCCCATTCCTGAGTTAATACTCCGAATGCCGTTCCTTCATGTATGTTAACAAATAAATGGAATGGCCGCTTTAAATCTGGGAGACTTAAAACCGGTGCTTGACTTAGCTCCCTTTTGAGACTGGCAAACTGCTCTTGATCCTGAGGAGTCCACTTGGGTATTTTGTCTTTAGACAGTTGTTCATATAAGAATTTAACTTTAAAGCTGTAGTTCTCTATCCATTGCCTACAATACCCAAATAGCCCTAATGCCTGCCGAATTTGCCTCTTAGTGACAGGCATAGGTAATTCCAGAATTCCTTTAATACGCTCTGGATCTAATATCTTCTGGCCGTTAAATAGATAATGTCCCAGATATTTCACTTTTTCCTCCACAAATTGTAACTTTTCTTGTGATACCCGTAGGCCCTTTTGTGCAAGAAAGTTTAGAAGTCGAATGCTTTCTTTCCTTACATCCTCCTTATTATTCCCTGCTATGAGCAGATCATCTACATACTGTAACAGCACGTTCCCTGTTTGTACCTGGTATTCTTTTAAGAGCTCTTCCAGGGCCTGTCCAAACAGATTAGGGGACTCAGTGAACCCTTGGGGAAGCACAGTCCATCTCAATTGCTGTCTACGGCCTGTCTCTATGTCTTCCCATTCAAAGGCAAAATAATCACGGCATTCTTCTGCCAGTGGACAGGCCCAAAAGGCATCCTTCAAATCAACCACACTATACCAGGAGTTATGGGGTCCTAGCTTGCTTAACAGTGTGTATGGATTTGCTACTACAGGGAACCGGGTGATAGTTCTCTTGTTTATTTCTCTTAAATCATGTACAAGCCGATATTTCCCATTTGGTTTCTTTACAGGCAAAATGGGGGTGTTAAAGGGTGACATACAAGGCTCTAAGATTCCTTGTGTTAACAATCGATCAATTTCTGGTTTTAATTCTCTCCGTCCTTCTAGGGATATGGGATATTGCCTTACCCTCACAGATATGTGGGGTTCGGAAATTTGGATTTTAATCGGTGGAATTTCCAGTCTACTAATTGTGTCCGGAGAGTACCAGACATCAGGGTTAATTTGTTTTTGATCATCCACGGTCAAAGGATAAGCGGACACTGTTAGCTCTTGATTTTTTACTTTAATTTCTAATTGCAATTCAACAATTAAATCTTGTCCTAACAGATTAAATTCTGCTTCAGGGACGAGCAAGAGTTCACCCATTCCAAATTTATTTTCAGTTTCGAATACCACATTTTTGATTTTGTTTACTTTAAAGGGTTCTCCTTTTGCCCCAATTACTTGTACCTTTTCAGGGGACACTTTACATCCCTCAGGTAGTTGCTTAATGGTTGATTTCTCAGCCCCAGTGTCTACTAAAAAGGTGAACTCTTGTTTATGGGGACCTATTTTTAATTTTATCAAGGGCTCATGATGACTCCGGTCCCCTAAGATATAGAGCCCCTGACTCTCCTATTCCGTTTTCAATATTTCCTCATCCCTGATCCTTTCTCTGCAATTCTTTTTTATATGTCCCTTCTTTCCACAGTAAAAACAATATCTCTGTTCCTTTTCTACTACTACGTTCCCTTGTTTCGTCCTAGCAGATCTGTGTTCACCAGTTCGCCCTTTGCGATCCTCTCTGACCGCTGCTACCATCATTTTTACTTGTCGCTTGCTGCTCTCTTCTTCCCGCCTTACGTAGACTTTCTGAGGTTCCCTCAATAATTCATCCAACCCTCTATTCTGCCAGTCTTCTAACTTTTCAATCTTCTTTCTGATATCTTCCCATGATTTTGCCACAAACTGAGTTTTGAGGAGCGCTTGCCCTAAAGGGTCGTCTGGATTTACCCCAGAGTACAGCTGAAGGGCTTTCCTCAGTCGTTCCAGCCACTCAGTAGGGCTTTCATCTTTCTTTTGCATTTCATTAAATGCTTTATTGATATTCTGGCCACGGGGTACTGCTTCTCTAATTCCCTGAATTACTATAGTTCTCAGGTCCTGCATATGAGTTCTATGCACCGGATCCTGATTATCCCAATTAGGTCTTTGGAGTGGCCATTTAATATCTGCTTGAGGTCCCTGGTCATGTTGAGCATCCCACAGTCTCATTCCTGCTCGTCTAATCATATCTCTTTCCTCGGTAGTAAATAATTGACCAAGGATAGATTGCATCTCATCCCAAGTATAAAGGTTTGGTCCCAAAAATTGATCTAATCTTTCTGCCACTCCAAGTGGGTCCTCTATTAAGTTTCCCATCTCGGTTCTTTTAAAATCTCGAAGGTCAGCCGAGTTTAAGGGTACGGAAATATATCCGATCACAGGTTGAGGTCCCCCCATGGGTATTTCCCTTAGGGGGTACATCTGAGCTGCCCCTTTTTTACTTCTAGTTACGCGTCTAGGAGGAGGGGGAGACCCTTGTTCCGATTCTGGTGGGGGAGTGGGTGCTCTGGGGACCTCTGGAGGGGCTGCGGGAACAGGAGGAGGAATGTAAGGAGGGGGGATTAGAAGGGTTTCGTCTAACTCTTCCTTCCTTTTCTTTTGTTTAGTTTTTACTTCATTCAGTGGGTAAAGTCTAGCTCCCGGTCTTTTTAGCCACACTTCCGCATACTGACTCTCCTCCGGGTTAAGGGGTTTTTTATTATTAACCCAGAGGTTTAATTGTTGTCTTACCCAATCTTCTTCTGACCCATAAACTGGCCAAAAGACATTTTTAGAAATCTTCTTCCCTCCCCATATCTTAGTACAATATTCTATCATTTTCTGCTTATCTTTCCCTAGGATTCCAGGGAAATATCTCCAATTGTCTAAGATATATGCCAGAGGGGTATTCTTAGGTACAGTGGGTACCCTTCCCATGGGAGTCGAAGGCTTGCTGCCCTTCGCCCCCATCTTCTGGAATATCCACAAACATACACTCACTCGCTCCCCTTGTTCCTGGCCCAGTCCCTCGCGGGAGATGGGAGACGCAGTACTTAAGAGTCCACACTTGCTTGGTTCAGTATATCGAACCTCTCACTCGTTATATTCCAGGAAAACCAATCCCACCCGAACGGCAAACCCGCGAACAAATTCGCAATATACTTACGCGTCCTGCGTCTTCGTCCAGACTCCCGTGCACAGAATTTTATGGGATTTTACCGGTTTCTCCTTTGCTCATTATTCTAGAATTTAGGTTCGTTGGTAAGGTTGGGGTAAGCTGTTGGTCGCGGGGCCGCGAAATGTCGCGGGGCCTCTCCCCAGAGGACCAAAACCCACCGTTCCTTATCCGAGTCACGGCACCAGAAATTGTTATAAATTGAGACCACAACGGATCATAATCCAATTAAAATTTTATTAATTATAGCAAGTAGAATATGAGCAAAACCAGCGCTGGACGACAGGGGAGTCTGCGCTCCGCCAACTGCCGTGCTGAGCAGTTCAAACAGCCCCTTTTTATACATCTTTACTTCCGTGTTCATGAAGTAGTGGAGGTACTCTGCGCATGCTTCACATAGTTGACCTTTTACTCATATGTCCTTATATGGAGTTGTTTATCTTACTTCTGCCAGTTCCTGGAACATCTTGCAGTTATCTTTAGTTTGCACAATCGGTATCTGGTTTAGTTGTGTAAGCGATTGCGGTTATCTTATCTTGCGTAAGCTGTGTCTGGTGGCTGTTTGCATAAGCGATTTCATATCTTTTGTTGCCTAACCTTTACATTGGGCTTAACATAAATCTTAATAAACAATACCCTAGTCTATAGTTTCTCACAATCCCCCCTTTTTCTTTTTATCCTATTATTGTTTATTAGACGCTGCTTTCATTCTCGGCACTGCAAGCAAACCTTTTTCCACAATCCCAACATTTACCATAACACTCACAAGGTAATACCTCACAATTACAATAGGCATAGCTTTCACGTGGCATAATGCATTCACAATAATCTTCATCCTCATTAATAGATACACTCTTATATTTTGCCCCAGACCTCGTAGTTAAAATAAGCAGTTTAGCTATGTCAAACCGTTCTCTAATAAAGTGTAAAATATAGCGCAATATACAAGGCCCAAATATAAGTCCCAGAATCAACATAATAAGCGGTCCTGCTAAAGCAGACAACAAAGTGGTTAGCCAAGGTGAAACATTAAACCAGTTTTCATACCATGACCTGCCCGCCTCACGATCTTTCTTACATTGATTTAACCTTTTCCAGAGTTGTAATATTTTGAATGGCATGTGTTTCCTGTAAGTTATATATCTTCCATACCATAGGTTCATGAGGGTTTCCATTTCCTGGGGCTATCAACGGTATATCAGGAAAAAGGGTGTCTGTCAATTTTGCCAATTTAAGTATATTTTTACCAGTCCTGGGGAAGTTTGGCCATTGTTGCTTTTGCGTCCCATTGTTCTGGTTCTTTTCTCCACAATTTGTTCCTCCTCTGCCTCACCCGTCGACTCGGTTGCTTCGAGCCACGGGGTGTACCATCTTCTCGGCAGCAAGGGAATTCTTCAGGAGAACAGTTGTTTCAGGCTTTCTGCCTGTTTACATAGGCTTCCCACTTTGCAGCTTTAACTAATGGGGCAAAGCAAGACACGGTTAGTACTTCCCTACTTTATAACCAAAATTTCAGCTACACAGGGGACTGGTTCGTTGGAGTGGTAACAATAATATTGAGGGTTTATTCCTTTGGCAAAAATTTCCCACCACTCATGGGATTCCCGAATAATTTCTTGTTTAGACTCTAATTGTTTTAATTTCCACTCAGTGAGAGTTCTTTGGATTTTCCAACACTGTGTGCAAACTCCTATTGGAGGATAGCCACATTCACAGTGTGTCCACCATTTATCCTGGCATACCTTACACCTGAAACAAGCAAATGGATAACAATTGCAGTTCAAATTATTACACTTAATTCGTATATCTAGAGTGCATATATTATTTACATCAGTATATCTTCTATATTCACTATTGTGTGGTTGCATAAGTTTAGCAATTTCCTTCAACGCACTTTGTATGCTTCCATATATAATAGAAAAGAGAAATAATTATAGCAAATAAAAACAGCAATACACACTTTATACCAAAAGGTAATGCAGCAAAAAATCAAATAAAGTCTCTATCATTACATTATTTTTTCAGGGTTATCTTGGTGTCACCTGGAGTACTGATTACTTTCCAGTGAGGTCTCGTCACTGGGCCTTTAATGCGACTGGCATGAGTCCATCCACGCTCAGCAGTTCGGACAGCTGTCTCTGTTGTAAGCAAAACAAGATAAGGTCCCTCCCAATTGGGTTTTAGGGTTTCTTCCTTCCATACTTTGATCAATATCCAATCTCCCGGTTTAACATTGTGAATTTTTAAGTCCAACGGGGGTCGTTGCACAATCAGTCCATGTTCCCAAAGCTTGTTACGATGTTCTGCTAATTGTGAAACATATTCGTTAATCACACGGTCTCGAATTAAAACATTTGTTTGTGGACTTTCAATTCTATAAGACATTCCATACACCATTTCAAACGCTGATATTCCTACATCTGCTCGGGGTCTGGTTCTGAGAATTAATAGTGCCATGGGTAGGCACTTAATCCATGATAATTTGGTTTCTATTATTAATGTAGTCAAAATAGTTTTAATTTCTCCATTTATCCTTTCAACTTTTCCCGAACTTTGTGGATGCCATGGTGTATGGTATTCCCACTAAATACCAAGCTTTCTGTTAGATCTCTAACAATTTTTGACACAAAATGTGTTCCTCTGTCCGAGTCGATTACTTCAGGTACTCCATATCGAGGTATAATGTGTTCAAGTAACACTTTAGTAACTTGGTTAGCAGTTGCCCTGGAGGTAGGAAAAGCCTCAATATAATGTGTTAAATGATCCACCATAACTAATAAATATTTATAACCCCCTACCCTAGGTAGTTCAGTAAAGTCCACTTGTATGTGTGAGAAAGGTCTGTACGCTGGGGAACGTCCTCCAAGAGGTTTTTGTCTCATGTTGCTTCGATTAACCTTTTGACAGGTCTCACAGGCTGCCATGACTGTCTTTGCTATGTTATATACGCCTATACAGGCAAACTGTTGATTGAAATGATCAACTAACGCCTGGGTTCCCCAGTGTGTTTTACTGTGTATTTTTGAAAATATTTCGAGTGCTACGCCCTTCGGCAAGACTTCTCTCTCATCTGGCAATATGTACTTCCCATCTTGTTCCTTAGCTCCCATTTGTTCTAGTTTTTCCTTTTCTGCAGACTCAAAACTCAAATTTTTACTAACAGGTACTTGTTGCATAGTCAAAATCATACTATAATTGCCTGCCACCCGTTTTGCTTCTGTATCAGCTGCATTATTTCCCCTAACTTGATAACTTGTACCTCGCTGGTGTCCCTTTATATGTACAACTGCTATTTTATTTGACATTTTCAATGCCCCCAGAACTCGCCGAATTAATTCCGGGTGTATCAGTTCTTTTCCCTGTGAGTTAACAAATCCTCTTTCCTCCCATATTTTTCCAAAAGTGTGTACTACTCCGAATGCATAGCGTGAGTCTGTATATATAGTTCCATCCTTTCCCTTCAGTGACACTAATGCTTTCCACAATGCATACAGCTCACAGGCTTGAGCCGACCAGCTGGCACTCAGGGGGCCTGATTCTATTGTCTTAAATTCTCCTTTTTCCAACTTAACGATGGCATATCCGGACAATCGTTTACCTTCCACTATTCGTGATGACCCATCTATAAATAATACTTCTCCACATTGTAGTTCTTCTTCTTCTAAATCTGGCCTAATGCGTGTCTGTTGTTCAATTGTTTGAAAACAATTGTGCAATAGTTCATTACCTTCTCCTGGGTACAAAAATTCAGCGGGGTTAACCGCTCCAATAGTTTTCAAAGATAGCTTAGGGGATTCTATAAGTATTCCCTCATACTTTAATAACCGGGTATCTGTAAGCCATTTTTCTGCTTTTTGTTGTAACACTCCCCTGATGTTATGAGGCGCATATAAGATAATTTCTCCATTAAAGGTAATGCGATTCGTTTCCTCAAGTAACAAGGCAGAAGCTACAATGATTTGTAAACAACTCGGCCAACCCCTGCTCACAGGGTCTAACAGCTTTGATAGGTATGCCACTGGTTTCTTTTGTCCAGCCCATTCCTGAGTTAATACTCCGAATGCTGTTCCTTCATGTATGTTAACAAATAAATGGAATGGCCGCTTTAAATCTGGTAGGCTTAAAACCGGTGCTTGACTTAGCTCTCCTTTTAGACTGGCAAACTGCTCTTGATCCTGAGGGGTCCACTTGGGTATCTTGTCTTTAGACAGTTGTTCATATAAGAATTTAACTTTAAAGCTGTAGTTCTCTATCCATTGCCTACAATATCCAAATAGCCCTAATGCCTGTCTAATTTGCCTCTTAGTGACAGGCATAGGTAATTCCAGAATTCCTTTAATACGTTCTGGGTCTAATATCTTCTGGCCGTTAAACAGATAATGTCCCAGATATTTCACTTTTTCCTCCACAAATTGTAACTTTTCTTGTGATACCCGTAGTCCCTTTTGTGCAAGAAAGTTTAGGAGTCGAATGGTTTCTTTTCTTACATTCTCCTTATTGTTCCCCGCTATGAGCAGATCATCTACATACTGTAACAGCACATTCCCCGTCTGTACCTGATATTCTATTAAGAGTTCTTCCAGGGCCTGTCCAAACAGATTAGGGGATTCAGTGAACCCTTGGGGAAGCACGGTCCATCTCAATTGCTGTCTACGGCCTGTCTCTATGTCTTCCCATTCAAAGGCAAAATAATCACGGCATTCTTCTGCCAGTGGACAGGCCCAAAAGGCATCCTTCAAATCAACCACACTATACCAGGAGTTATGGGGTCCTAGCTTGCTTAACAGTGTGTATGGATTTGCTACTACAGGGAACCGGGTGATAGTTCTCTTGTTTATTTCTCTTAAATCATGTACAAGCCGATATTTCCCATTTGGTTTCTTTACAGGCAAAATGGGGGTGTTAAAGGGTGACATACAAGGCTCTAAGATTCCTTGTGCTAACAATCGATCAATTTCTGGTTTTAATTCTCTCCGTCCTTCTAGGGATATGGGATATTGCCTTACCCTCACAGATATGTGGGGTTCGGAAATTTGGATTTTAATCGGTGGAATTTCCAGTCTACTAATTGTGTACGGAGAGTACCAGACATCAGGGTTAATTTGTTTTTGATCATCCATGGTCAAAGGATAAGCAGACACTGTTAGCTCTTGATTTTTTACTTTAATTTCTAATTGCAATTCAACAATTAAATCTCGTCCTAACAGATTAAATTCTGCTTCAGGGATGAGCAAGAGTTCACCCATTCCAAATTTATTTTCAGTTTCAAATACCACATTTTTGATTTTGTTTACTTTAAAGGGTTCTCCTTTTGCCGCAATTACTTGTACCTTTTCAGGGGACACTTTACATCCCTCAGGTAGTTGCTTAATGGTTGATTTCTCAGCCC